AACATCGCATACCCTACATCTTAGATATTTACATTACAATTCATAAAAGTAGCAAAATTACAGTTATGAAGTAGCAAAGAAAATAATTTTATGCTTGGGGGTCATCACAACATAAAGAACTACGTTAAAGGGTTGCAGAATTGCTGTTCTAGAGAGTCAGCCTTGAGCGGAAGGTAGGCTGGCTGAGTAAAGTTTATATAGTGGCATCAACTCCAAGTGCTCTTGTACTGTTCTCTTACTAACAAGCTACCTCCTCTAGATGTTGGCCTAGGGGATAAAGGGCGCCTCTCCTTTAACCCCAGCACAGAGAAACCACCTCTTCCTGATTCAGTAGCATGGTATAGCCTAAGTGGAAATTAGCTTGAATGATCTGGGTGTTTATTGTTGAGTGACAAGGTACACCAAGAACTCGTAGCTTAAGACAATACTAGATTTTAGTGCTAGTCAGGGAAAGGAGTAGATCCTTTTCTGATCCCATGGTCCTATGAGTTAGAAATGGTTTGCTTGGCAGTTCTAGCTCTAGATTTCTTCTTTTTTAAATAGATAATTTCACATATTTATATAATATGGGGTTGTTTTGATCAAACAATCCCATTCCCTTCGTTTTAGTCCTCCCCTACTCCCCCCTTTCCTACCATACTTCAAGTGCTCTAGTTTAAAAAAAATGCACAGAGTTTGCTTAGTGTTGCCTATATGTGCATGGGTGTGGGGCCATCTATGGGAACATGGTTTTCCCTCAGGGACTGTATCCCTGAAGAAAACTGATTCTCCTTTTCCCAGCATCCATCAGTCATCAATAGAACCTCAGACTGAGATGGGACCTCCCCTCTTCATGCTGAGATTTTGCTGGCTGGATCTTGTGCAAGCAGTCCCGGCCTTTGGGAGTTCGTGTTTGCAACAGCACTGTCATGTCCAGCACAAACTCTTTTCCTGTACATGTGCACTTCCTCTGGCTCTTTCTTTCTGCTCCCTCTTCTGGGATGATATCTGAGCCTTGGGGAAGGGAGTGTGATGTGGATGTTTCCTTTAGAGCTGACCACTCCACAGTCTCTTCTCTGCACATTGATCAGCAGTGGGTCTCTGTGTTAATTGGCTTCTAGGTTTCTTCTGTGGATGTTCTAAGACAGTGGCTAGAGGGCAAAGGATGGGCTAGCTGAGCTTGGCCTCAGAGCTCACTGGGTAGTCAGCCTCTGTGATAGTTAGGCTTCTTGACAGCATGGTTGACACAGGTTTTCTACTTGCAGCCTTGGGCTGCAAAAACAGATGCAGATGAGAGGGTGTTGTAGCTGCTTTTGTGACCCAGCCTTAGAAAGCACAAAGGATCATTTTCATTGTGCTCTGTTACCGTGGGCAGTCAGAAGGCAGGAACACGAGGAGGAGATTCTTCATAAAAATCAGGTTTCCAGGAGAGCACATGGGATAGGATATATTTTTGTGGCATTTTGGAAAATATCTGTCATATTCATCCCTTGATAAAATAGAGTACCTACAAAGAGATCTATAACTCTGGGAATCATGAGACAACAAGGTACTCCCGCCTCCTATAAAAGTAAAACTTGACAGACTCATGGGAATGGTTGGCGGGAAAATGAGCAGAAAGAAGTACTCCTCTTCCTGATTCCGATGAATGGCACCTTGGATCTTTTTAGGTGACATGAAAGTTGAAACTCACCTGCATTATCTTGGCCTCTCCACTTGGCAAATGAATGTAAAAAAATACTTTAGGAAACTGGATTCTGATGCCCAGGTCTCCCGTGGTAATAAACACAAAACTCAGGCACATTTAATACTTTCACATAATACAATTTGCCTAATGTCCTCATCAGTCTACCATCACAAAGCCAAATAATTATTTGGTTCTAATTTGGGTTTTGGATATCACCTGGGTGCTGGGCAGGCTTTTTGGCCTCCTCTTGTTGGCAGGCATAAATTTCTCATCAAAGACCATTAGGAAAGTGTGAGTGTTTACAGGTTACATTGTAGAACATCTGTTTATAGGTTTGGGGTCGCTGAGACCCCATTTCTGAGGTACAGGATACATGGGTATACAACACAGAGATCAGAGCTGCAGAATGCTTGCTTTAGCGTGGGCCTAAGGGCTTATCTACGTGATGTTCCACAGTTGGAGAAAGGATAACATGAAGTGTCAATGGCTACTTTCCCAAAAGACTGTTTTACCTAGCTTCAACCCAATGGTTTAAAAGAAGAATTCTACTCTCTTCAGTGAGGTTTTCTAACAGTCTCCCTTGTGTTCCTGTGAGATACTGGAACATGAAGCAGTAATATGGGCAGTGTCCTCCCTTCAAAAATGGCCACCGAGGAGGCTAACCAGAAGATGTAGGCAACATCTCTAGTCTCCACAAACTACACCCATTTGTACTTCTCACTACTTTCTTTTTAGACCTAGTGGCAAGAGGAGGGATATTTTTGGACAAACAAATGAGTGAAATATCAGTTCAAAAGCTGAAGGATATATCAATAAGTCTATCCTGTGAGGCTATAATTTCAGTTCTTGCTCTGATTCGACATGATAATGAATAATTAGCTAAGTCTATGCACTTTGATAGCATATGACAAATCTCTTAGTGTTGGACCAATGTCAGCAAACCCTGGGAGAGGTCTTCTGTCTTCATGGGCCAATGCAATACCTTGAGTGTCTTGACTTGGCTCAGATGCCATCTGCCCAAGGAAGCCCCCTTTCCTTCTGTGCTGAGTTGCTCTTCAGAGCTACCTCTAAATTATTGAGCATTCGGGATCATAATTGTCTTTCTTGTCTGTTATACTGGAACTCCAAGTACGAAGAGACCAAATCTTACCATGGTAATTTTGCTGTCCAATGGAAGTGTCTATTACAGTGCAAGGGTTTGTAAAAAGGAAGGAGGGAGAGAGGAGAAGAAGAAGGAAAGGGAAACAGGAAGTGGAGAAGCATAAGTGAACTTTGTCATTTCTCCTTGACAGGGAGAAACTGAAAGAGATCACTGGCCAGTGAGTTGGTCCCTCTGGGTCGGAACTTACCTGTTATTTTCTGAGCTCTCCTCGGAATGTGGGGCCACAGATGCTCTGCTGTGAATGAAGACTGACATCATCTGCTTCCCAATGTGAGTAGACAGTGCCATCTGCCTGAGCCCTGCTCCTCTACTACATCCAAGGGCAGTTAACCCTGACCTTCATACATCCTCCTGATGAGCTTTTTGCCTCTCTTTATAGCCGTGCCAGAATTGCCTCTAAGACTGCTTTTCCCCAAACAAATTGCTCCAGGAATTTTTCCTTGTAGGAACACAGTTTATTTTTTGTTTTGTTTTGTTTTTTGTTTTTTCTAATTATGGTGACTATTGAGCCTCAGGATGCTTCTTTGGATAGACACTTTTTTTTCTAGGGGACTTGAGGCTTCCAAGAGAAGATAATTTTTCATATCCTAGTCAGATGAAAATGTAGTGGAGAAGACTGTGGAGGTGATTTGGTGGCGCCTCCCAAACAAGTCATTTGTCTTGTCTCTTGTCAGTGACTTGGAGGAGCGGTATTTGTGGAGCAAGTGACTTGAACTACTGACCAGTTACCTGGCTGATAAGTGTAGCCAAATCAAATGGCATGGATAAGGTGGAGGTGGGAGGTGTGTCTTCACTTGCTAGGAAACTACATACAAAATCCTGAATTCAATTCCTGACTCAGAATACTGCTCTACAGCACAGGCTTTTAAACATGGTGAGCCAAGCACCAACCTTCTATTCCTGGCATGGAAATGGCACCCCTGTGAAGAGACTGAGGGTGGTAGATTTAACTTGGTTCCTCTCATCCTCCCAGGATGTGGGAACACAGTCTTGACAGCTGCTGATATTTTAAACAAGAAAGGAGGCCACTTAATCCTGATACATCCCCAGAACAGGGATGAAGCGCCAGCACCAGTGGCTAGTCCTGAGCTTGGGCAGGCTTTCCTCTCTGGCATGGCTGCCTGCTGAGGGTGCTCCTCTCTGAGCCTCACAGCGTCACAAGCAGGGCCAGTTACCACACTCAGCTCCCTCTGCAGATTTGGTTCCTTTCCTCCAAATCCTGAGGCCAGGGACTAAGAAATCTGAGTTTTGGGTGGAGGACACAGGAACCAGTCACTAATTACGGCACCAGCAGCCTGACTCAGTTTTTCCAGGCCATCTCTTTTGACTGGCTGAAGCCATCATTTATAACCTGTGCAAGGACGTCAGGCCTGGACTGAGAAGGTACAGGATAGAGGTTGAAGGAGGAAGATGGTCTTGGAAGCTCTGGGGGAGGGGACTGCAGGGTTCCTTCTAGCGGAGAATGCACACAGAAAGAAAAGACAAGAATCCAGGGACAGGACCACACTGGCAAACTTATTTCACATTTTAAATAATAATCTTTGCTTTATCAGAAGATCTTCTTTAGAGGAAAACCCCGCTCTGAAAATTGATCACTTCTGCAAGATTGCCTTGGGTACCTTCTTAGCCAGCCACCTGAGGGGACCTAAAACTCTGCTGCTATGTGCTATGCTTGAGCCCAGGTTGGTTGTGGTGGGGCATGTCCCACTCACTGCAGGGCTCAGGATTTCTGGGAACTTTGCTGTGGAGGCCCATCCTTGAGAAGGAGAGTGCCAGGGTGCCCTGAGTCTAGTAACTCTTAGGATGGCTGCTGTGCCATGCCATATCCACCCCACTGCAGAATCAGAGAAGGGCAAGGAGATGGCTGGGGAAGACGGGAATGAATGTTGGCCTTAGGGAGCCCATGAGGATCCCCACGTCTTTTTGGACTATAGGGATCTCAAATGGCTAAATCTGAGTTGAAAATAAAGTGTGTGTGTGTGTGTGTGTGTGTGTGAGAGAGAGAGAGAGAGAGAGAGAGAGAGAGTATATAGAGATAGATATGTAAGTAGGTAGGTAGATAGATGGATGGATAGATAGACAGATGGATAGATAGAGACACTGTTGGAGAGGGTCTGTGACTATAAGCTTTTCTAGTTTGGGGGGAGTACAGGGGTCAGTCTGCTGCAATTCTCAAGAAACACCCTCTGTAGCAAAGTCCTCTAGGTCATCGGTGGCGATAATGCTTAGGCTTGGAGCTTCTGCGCTCTCTTCCTCTGGACTATGAAGAGGGCCACCGGAGTGCTGGGCAGAGGCATGCTGGGTGGACTCACCCAGACGTTCAGGGGGAGGCTGCAGCCTAGCGCCCTGGGAACTCTGGGGCCTGTGGCCAGAACCCTGCCTGAGAAAGGTGGGAGCTGCGAGCTGAGAGGAGCAGCGCAGAGGCATCACGGAAGTCACCGGCACTGGCTGGAAGCCAGGGTACAAAAGGTAGGGAGCAGCCAGGGCATCCTGCAGAGGTGGCTCCTGGGAGGACTCCTCCGAGGATGGGACGGAGACCTTGACATATTTCCCAGTCTCGGGGTCATAGAAAGTCTTAATTTTCACTTGGAGAGGCACATCAAAGACAAAGTACTGTCCCGACTGGGGATCCTGGAGCACCTTCTGTGTGGAGGGGTAAGGAGGCAGAGGCGTGAGGGACTGGGGGCCCCAAGGCCGCCTCCCAGAAGGCTCCCAGCCACAGGACACCGAGTGGCGGTGCATGGGCGGGGGCAGGGAGCGGACGACAGGGAACCTGGGCCGGGCCCCCTTTCCCGGAGACGCAGGCCTCCGCTCTGTCCCCAGCGTGTCTTCTGTGAAGGACCTGCCCTCCCAGGCCTCGATGTGTTTCTCGGGCGCCTGGTCGCCCTTCCTTCGTTTGCTTGCCAGCTTCTTGGCCCGCCTCAAGGCCTTTTCAGTCTTGGGCGGGACTGCAGGGGGCTTGCCTGTCGCCGCCCTCTCCGGCGGAGCAGGTGGCTCGGGTTTCTCAGCAGCATCAGCCAGCAAAGCACCTCTCGGGGAGAGGGTCCTGAGGTCTGCCAACCGCTCAAGTTGGGGATCGGAGCCTTCAGCTTCCCATGTGAGGCCATGTGTCATGTCCTCCCTCCGGGAGAGCCTTGTAGAACACGGACTGGTCCAGGGGCTGGGGCCCAGAGGCTCCCGGCGGCGCAGCCCCTGTTCCCCAGCGGCCTGGGAAGCTTCTTCCCAAACACTGCTGGCCACAGGCGAGCAGGTGCTGCTTTCTCCCAGAGAGCTGGGGTTGGGAGAAGTCGCCGCCTCACTGGGGACCAGCCTTCTTCCTGAAGGTCCTGCTCTGGGGGCAGACAAAAAGTGGCTTTGGAAATCTTGTTCTTCCCAACAGGCCTGGGGCGGCAGGGAGTGGGGCGAGGCTTCGAAGTCATCTGGGGGTAAAGCGATGGTGGGGACATGCTGTAGCGCAGCCAGCTTCCTTGAGTCTGCAGATCTGCTTTTCTTATCAGGCGCGGGAGCTTCGCCCGCTGTATCGGGGTGTGGCTTAATCCCGTCCCCCTCTTCCACCAGAGGTAGAAAGGAGGAACTCCCCTTCCTGGCTCGCTGAGAAGTCTCATCCTGGGCTGAAGTGTGCACCAGGTCCTCCTCCACGCCCTTGCACTCTACACACTTCTGCTGTGTGCCTGGCAAGTCATTGGATAACGGGGTGTTAGGCATCTCCTGGCTTTCTGAGGCACAGAGGCCACTAGCATCCTCTCCCCACGGTTGCCTTGGTAATTCACTCTCTTTGCGTCCACCACTAAGCGAGTCCTCGGAGGACACTGTCCTCAGGAGAGGCAGAATGATAGGTTTTATGACTGGCGTGGCTCTGAGCGTGTTGTCTTTAATTGGGAACAGTCTGTGCTTGTTGGTAGAAGCAGGCGAGGGGGTTGAGTCCTTGGCATGGGAAAGAGCTGTATCCTTGTCAGCCCCCATCCAAGAGCCTCTGACATTGGCTTCCTCCATGGATGCCTTCCTGGGTCTCCCTCCTGACCAACCTTGTGCTTTTCTCTCCATTTCCTCCTGTCTGTGTTCTTCCACACCTACATGTCCACTACTCCAGGCACGCTGCTGTGACTCTTCCTTCTCCACCATTGTCTCCTTCTTTTCCTTCTGCTTGTCACCTGCACTCACATGACTCTTCCTGTCTTCCCGAGGGCCTTCTGTTAACCACACCTTCTGCTGATCATCAAAAGAAGCAAAGGATTGATCTGAAGAGCTGGTGCTGAATTTAGCCTTTGTTTGGAGGCATGGAGTAAAATCAGATTGGCTGTCGCTGTAAAACACATCCTCCTCCTCAGGGGAAAGCGGTCCTGGGGAGAACTTCTGGCTCAAGGGTAGGTTCTGGAGCCCCGCTTCTTGCTCAGGCTCTGTCTCTTGGGAGATGGATCTCGAGAGCCCATTCTCCAGATGGTGGGGCTTCATTTTCTCAGTAGACTGTCCTGTTTCAGACTCCTGGGTGCAGAGTTTTAGGGAGAGATGTTTCCGGGGAAGGTGCTCCCTGGAGTCTGGATGCCAACCACTCCCGGAAGGACCCTGCTCTGCCTCTCCCCTGGCATCTTCCTTCTCATTACTGCTCCTTTCTGCAGTCTCCCCATTGACACTGAAGTGGCTTTTGGAGCTAGCTGAAGGTGAACTGAGGGTCAGGTGGCTGTCCACAAAGGACTCGCTAGAGCTGATAGCAGGATCCTTCTGGGTACTGCTGTGCAAAATGCTGGGGACATCGGCTGGCATCTCCTTCAAAAGCTCAGTGGGAGGGATTTCTTCAAGCCCGTTGGGAAGGGTGACCCCGTTGCTCACAGGTTCTTGCTTGCCATCAGGCTTACCTCTGCTTTTCTCATCAGAGCTTTTTAAGAGAGGCAAGGGGCTGTATGTACTCTTGACACGCTTCCTAACATCTTTGAGGTTGAACAGCAGGCTGGGTGCTTTGGATTTGTAGCTATCCCGAGACTGAGCCTCGTTGGGCTCCTTCTCCTGGTATCCATTCAGCTGTCCTGGAGAGGGTGGGCTGATTTCCACTGGTTGGGTATCTGAAGATTCCAGGATATGCTTGGTGGATATAATGGGGGTGAGGAGTTTACTAATGTTAAAAGGGGGACTGTAATGGTCGTTGGAATCCTCTGGCATGTCTGAAACGCCATTTTCTGGAAGTTGACCCTGAGGGTTGAGCTTTGAATACAGAGGTAGGCTTCTCCTATTGGGCTGTTTCTTGTCTTCCAAAGTACCGTGCGGACCGTCTGTCCCTCCTTTGCCAGTCTTTGGCTTCCTCCATGGGGGCTGACTCCGTTTTACCTTAGGGTCAATCTGTGAAGCATTTCCCTCTACCGGAAATACCTGGGATCCTGGATCCCTGGCACACCAGGCTCCAGATGTGGCCTGAGTCCCTGATGCAGGTCTGTTCTCCTCCTGGGCACAGTTAGGCCGGCCCTGGCAGGGGGAGACTTTGGGCTCAGCAGGATAGGGCTCCTTCAACAAGGGCATGTCCTCATAAAGTTTGGGAGCTTTGCTTTCTGGGGTGGTTTCAGCAATGTCCTTTCTTTCCAGGAGCTTTGGTTGGTGGGTGTTCCATGACTCAAAAGCACTGTTTTCACTGTGCAGGAAAGTTCCCCTGGGAACCCACTCCTTGCCTTTTCCTGGCTCAGCTTTGGCTGGCTTGAGAGGCGGAGAGGGAAACCTTGGCTCAAATGAGCCAGCCGCATGATCAGGTGTCCGGAGCAGGCTGCCTGAGCTGTGACAGGCTATTTCTGGGTTCTTGGGAGACTCTTCTTCTCTAGGGTTCCTGCCAGGCTGGTGGCTGCTCTTTTGAGTGTTGGAGACTTCAGCAGGTACCCTCCTAACAGTCAGAAAGGCAGAGTCGAAGCAGAAGTTGACACCGCTTTCTGGGGGAGGTGCAAACTTGGGGGGATTTTTTAGAGCTGGAGGCTTGCTGGGAGGAGGCCGGCTGTCACAAGGTTGAGTCTCAGTCCTGTCAAAAGATCTGATCAGTGATGAGACTTTGGAGATGGGCTTGCTGCAGCTTCTCAGGCCAGAAAGGGGCAGCTCCAGTCTCCGCTGGGCTTGTGTTAGTGGGGGACTGTGTTTGGGGTACTTTTCTTCCCCCTGAACATACTTGGGTTGCTGTTGAAAGGTGGCTGCCCAGCCAGAATGCTCTGTGCCTTGAGATGGAAGCTGGCTCCAAATGCCACTTTTCCTGTTGTTGTGGCTCACTGCTTCCTGGTGGAAAGTCCCCAGTGCCTGGCCGGTGATATCTGGGGACAAAGCCAGGTCAGAATCATGGAAGGATGTGTCCTCTGAGATGCACAAACTCCGGAATGCCCGGTCTGTGAGGTTGCTCACCTCTCTGTCTGCATCATCCAGCACACTGCCAATGCTGGAGGTATCACTGAACCCATCTGTGCACTTTTTGTTCCCCTGCATAGTCTGTTGGCTTTAGCAGGACTATCTCTGTCAGCTGTTAGGTGCTGTCTGGTAAGAGTCTGGCAAGAGTTCACAGAAACAACCTATCACGGGGTGGAGCTTCGTGTCGACCAGTAGCAATAGCAAAATGAGGATTTTTTTTTTCTCTGTAAAAGAAAGAAGTACATGGCATGAATAGAATACCCAGTTTAACCGATCTATACAAGTGCTACATGTCAGTCTTAAATAGATAATAGTGTCTGTGTGTAGTTAATTTCATGTGTCAACTTGACTAACCAAGTGTACTATTCCTGGTCACTGCTCTAGATGTTGCCATGATGGTATTTCTCAGATGTGATTAGCATTAAAATAAGTAGACTTCGGGTAAAGCAGATTATCTTGTATAACGCAAGTGAACACCATCTAATCAGTTCGAAGCCTTAAGAAAAGGATGATTGAAGTGACAAGCCACAAATGACAAAATACCTGGGTATGATTACATCGAACTAAATGACCTTTCTGTAGCAAAGGAAATACTTCACAAAATAAAAAGGCATCCTCTTTTTATCTCCTAAAGGGTTAGCATCTAAAGTACATAAGTAATGCCTATAACTAAATAACAAAACCCCAAAATCTCAAAACAACAAAACCCTAAAAATCAAACCCAAAGAACCCAATTAAAAAAAATTGGGAAAGGAAGCTGGGTGTGATGGTGCACGCCTTTAATCCCAGGACTTGGGAGGCAGAGGCATGTGGATCTCTGTGAGTTCAAGGCCAGCCTGGTTTACATAGTGAGTTTCAGGACAGCCAGGACCATGTAGAGAGACTATGCCCCCCCCCCCCCAAGCAAACAAAAACAGAATAAAACAACAGCAAAAAAAGGAAAGTAATTTCATAGGTATTTCTCCAGACAAGCATTTAAACAGGTACAACAACAGGGGCTCCATACCACTGTTTAGGAAGTACAAGTTAAAACCGTACTGAGAAACTAGGCCTGTTAGGTTAAATAGTAAACAAACCAACCAACAAGAGCAAAAGCGGGTATGTAGGGAGACCGCAGGTAAAAGTACATGCTGAGTTCGGTCCCCAGGACCCATGGTGAAAGGAGAGAGCCGACTCTCACTAGTTATCCTCTGACCTCCATACCCAAAACATGGCATGTGCATAGCTATACAAACACACAGTGCACAAAATAAATAAAAAGAAAAAAACTGTGAAAGAAAGCCCCCTCCCACTGTTGGCAAAAGTGTAGATTAGAGGCTGGAGAGATGGCTCAGTGATTAATTGTCCAGGTTGTTCTAACTGAACTGAGCCTGGGTTTCTAGCACTCACAGGGCAGCTCACAGCTTCCCCTAACTCCAGTTTTAGGGATCTGATGCTGTCTTCTGAGAAGCATATACAAGACGTGCATACAGGTAAAGCACTTAAAATAAAACAAATACTTTAAAATGTAAATTAGTCTATGCAAGAACCATTACATTCACTAGTTATTATAAAATTCCCCCATACAGCCAAGTGTGTATAACCAATGCGGCACAGTCCGGGCCTGCAGAGACGCTGCTCTTGCGTGTTCTTGGCAGTGCTACTATCAACAGACCAAACAAGGAAGCAGCTTAGATATGCTTGGACAGATGAATGAAGAGAGAAACAGGATACACACATATTAGAATATTATTTATGCTTAAGAACAAAGGAAAGTCTGTTGTTAGTGACAACATGGATGGATCTAGAGCACATTGTTGAAACGTAATAAATCTGGCACAGAAGAATAAATGGGATTTGATGCCATTTATGTGAGAAATCTAAATGTCAAACTCCTAGACACAGAGGGTAGACACAGAGGGTAGACACAGAGGCACCAGGCACTGGGCTAAAGGAGGGTAATCAGGAAGGTGATGTCCAAAAAATCAACGTTTTAATTTTTAAATGATTTATTTATGTTTTGTGGGTAAGCATGTAGGTGCTACCGTGAATGTGTGGGGACTAGAAGACAAACTTTCAGGTGTCTGTTTCTCCTAGCATATGGCGACAGGGGATCAAACTCAGGTTGTCAGTCACACATTGTGGCAAGCAGCTCTACCTACTGAGCCATCTTGTCAACCCCCCAAGTTTTGATTTTTGTTTTTTTTTTTTTTCAGGGTGAAGAAGGCCCAGAGCTGTCCTGTAGAGCATGGCGCCTGTAGTTACCAATGCTGTACCTAGAATGTGCTGGGGCTGACTCGTAGGTTGTATTTTTATCCTTAGGAATCTTACTGTTTCTCTTCTGGAGAACCAGCATTCAGGCGGCTCATGTTTGCAGTATCTTTCTGTGACCTTCCGTTGGGCTGTCCCTTCTCAGTCTCTTCACTCCCGTGTTTCGTGTCCACGTGACACTGCGTGCACCTGGAGCTTAGGAGCACAGGGCAGTCTGCTCACCCAGAAGATCCTCCTCCCTTCTGCTTTATTCCTGCAACTGTGGCTCCTCCTGGGCTCCAGAGGCATCCCTCCTCGCTGCTGTCAGGAGACTGGCTGCCTTTCTTTCTGAGTGGGTCCGCAGTCCCTGGCTCTTCCTCATCCTGCCTGTTCCTCAACTACAGCGAAATACACACAATATAAAATTTACCGTTTTAACAACGTCTAGCACACACTTGCGGTACAGCCCTCTCACCATCCTTTCCCAGAGTGGTTCGAGCTTATAAAGGTGACACCGTGTTCACTAGACCCCAGCTCTTCGGTCATATCTCTCCTCGTTCCCACATCCTCTATTTCACTTTGTTTCTCTGGCTCGTTTCTCTGAGGCGAGATTGCTTTGTAAGCTTACCACAGGTGATCCTCCTGCCACAGCCACTCCATACTGTGATTGCAGAGAGACGTCTTTCTGTCTGGCTGAGAGTGTGTAATTTTTTATGGTGCTGGTGCTGGGAGTTCAAAGGCAGGGACTTTTTTCACGCCAGGCAAGTGTTCTGCTGCCTAGCTCCCAGCTCCCAGCTCTCAGTTCTGCTTTGTAATCATACAGTATTTCGTTCTTGTGTGTCTGTATTATTTCATTTATTGCAATGCTCTTGAAGTTTATGTGGTAGTCAAGGTGACGCTGAGCCCCTCAGACTGTGAGAGAAGCATCTTGAGGTAGTTTGTGCCGTAGCTCTGTAGGTGCTGATCTGTGTGGGGGAAGTTCTCAGTGGGAGAGCACTCAGGGTGCTCCCCATGAACTTCAGCCTCCACCACCAGCACCTTATTCTGTTTTTTTGAGATGGGGTCTCCTACAGCCCAGGATGACCTTGAACCTCCTGCCTCTAATTACAGGCATGCACCACCACAGATGGCATGAGTCTCTCACACAGAACCATTTCCATGTGTGTTCAGGTTCTGTTTCTGTTGCTTGCATGTGACCCTACCTTATCTTGGGTTCAGCGTGGTTCCAAACAGACACAGAAGATGCTCATTGATGATCAGAAAATAGCCGCATGACTTCTGCCCACCAGCGTCATTCAGGCGATTTCTTCAATTCTATGTGTTCCCTGGAGTCAAATGGAATCGTCATAACACTGCCTTCACTCCCACCCTCCCCGGGAGTACTTTTGGCCCATTTATAAGCAACAGAGGTATTTCCGGATGCTGGCTTTCGGGTTCGTTCCACTGGGCTCTTATTTGGACCTGAAATGTCCCCGAGCTTCTCATGTGAAAACTGTGGTCTCCGGTTGGGAAGTACTGGGTGATGTTGGAATCAGAGGAGTGAGTGCTGTTTTCTTCCACACTGCCACGAGGTGAGCACCCACCCCCACCCCACACTTCTCCACGATAAACTCCTCTCTGCAATGCTAAACCCGAGGACCCAACCCCCAAATGAGCCAAAGCAGACTTTTTTATTTCCCAGCTAATTATCTCATGTGCTCATTACCTGACTTACACACCTACCTCCTCCGGCAGTGGGGGCTGCAGGCGCCTGCCTTGCTGGCTTTTAGGATCTGTGTTTTTCGAACATTTTTTCATGCTGAGATTTGGTGTCATCACTTCCCATCTAGAATGAAGAAAGAAATATGTTTTCAGTGAAACCAGTTGCGAGGAGTCTTCAACGGAAAAGCTGTCTTCAAATATCAATAGTAAAGTTTTTAAGGTAGTTGTCTGACCATCCTTTAAATTCGTACTTAAATGCATTGAAATTTAAATGTAGACATTTTTGCTAAAAACCAATATGAAGCTAACTTATACTCTTCCTAATACTGAATATGCTGGTGGCCTAAGGAATCTGCAGGGAATCCTGGTAAACCTTCGGGAAGGATCTTTAACAGGAGATGGCCTGCTACGAACCTTTTCTTTCCTAATAAAATTTGGGCAAGGACCTTTCCTAACTAAGTGACTAACTTAGTTCTTGCAGTAAAGGGACATAGAACAGCCAATTCAGGTCCACCCAGCCAACAGCTGTAGCGTTCGATTTATTGTTGGCAGGAGGCATGAGTATCTATTTTGACAGCTAAAGGAACCCCAAAGCTGCCCAGGAGGGTTTCCTGAGAGCTCAGCATCAAGGTAAACTAATTAAAATAAAACCACTATGCAAATCTTAAAGGCAGACTCTTGGGGCTTCCTCCAGGCCTTCTCCAGATTGTAGCTCCTGGATATTAATCTAGCCTAAGGTAGTTTATTAATAATATTAATAATCATAATAACTCAAATTTGGGGAGCATATTTCTTTAGAGAATCGGAGAGGCGCTTTGTGTGTGCTGCCATACGGCGAGGCCCCCATCAACTCCCCGGCTGGCTTTGATGGGTCTCCTTCCTGTCCCCGGGCATGTTGCCATTACACTCCCTGAACACAATGCGCTGTGACAGATCAGATATCAGGACCCATATGTTCTACAAATTGATGATTGATTCTTTCTCTCACAAGCTAGAAGGTTCCTCGAACCCAAAGAGGGTCTTATCTGTTTGCATGCTGAGCGTGTCAACACAGACGTGGCAAGGCTTTCAATTGAGTATCTTTATCATGCTTTATACCCTGACCCAAGGCAAAACCAAGGTACACACACATACAAATGGTTGGAGGA